CTTTACACATATTAAGTAGATGTTTTATATATATAAACGCGAAACCTAATGAGTAAAAGTCTCTAGGGACTGAGGTTTTGCAGCCTGCGCAGTAGTTTCAAAAAAACCTCGATTTTCCCATCTCTAAACCTAACCCAAATTAAAAACTATCGTTAAAACCATCGTTTAACTATTGTTCGCCCATTTGTAATCCACTAAAACCGTTCGCCATGAGTCACATGACCAAGCCGTTAGTGCAAGAGTAGAGATCCAAACCCGATTCGACGTATCGTAAACCCAGGTTAAGGAAGTAGAAGGAAGATAAGAGTAAGCAAGGGTTAATAGAAGAATAGGTTGAAGGAAAGACTTAGAAGAGAAGATTAGTACTTACCTACGGATAAAGCAATTAGCCAAATCTAACACGCCTATTTCGACTTAGCCGCCGTAGGTTACACGAGAATTGGAAGGAATTAGCGCCGATTTGCCGAACAATAGTAGGGAATATCTGACGAAAATAGTATACGTAGTAGATTCGGTAGAAAAGTGAAAAGTAAAATCAGCAAAAAAATGTATTTAAACACTGAAAAACTATAACTCACCTTGGAGTTCAATATCTACCGTTCCACTAATTAAGGACCTGCATGGGCCTAAAAATTTAACCTTTAACCGGCCCGCTAATCCCCCATAAATAAAATCTGCATAAATGATAGTAATTAGTGAATAAATCCAATGGCTTTGTATTAAGAGTCTTGTGACGTAATCTACGCTTCTAATTGACTCTAGTTACTCGGGTACTAATTTATTTGGCAAATTTGCCGATATACGGTAAAATGATTATCTGTGGATCCACAGTTCATTTAATCATATATTCAATTTAATATAATAAAGGGTTTATAATAAAATCATGCACCAATTGCATAAATGAGTGCGAGAAAATAAATTAAACCCCTAATCGATATGGATCTAGTATCACCAGTCTAAAAAATTTCGCACATCATGTTATCTTGTTGCAAAACCAAGAAAAAATTTCGCTATTTGGTTAGGGTTGTTTTGCAACTATGTTAGTAATAGAGGGTTATAGTTATGCCTTTTTGCAAGGAAAACATTTTGTTAATACGCAGAAGGCAGTTTAATTGGCAAAATTCGAGTTACAGACGATTTTTGGATTGTTTAACATTACCTGATCTTGAAATTTGATTGGCTGCAAAATTTTTTAGACTGGTGATTTTAGAGTTCCTAATTGACGTTTTGATAATTACAGTAATATGCAAATGGTAGTATTACTGAAGTTATGGTAATTTCTGTAATATTTTAATGATTTGGATGGTTATTCTAGAATTGATTCGAAAGTAGCTTAGGGTAGATCTTAAAATTGTCAATCTATAATACAAATTTTCAAATGTTTCATCAAATCTTCCAGTATAGCCGTCAAAAATGTGACACTTCAAAAAATTTTTATGTAAGTTTGGATTAGTCTTATGATCGGGTTAGACATTAGCAGAGCATATTGTAAACTTGCTCAAGAAATTTTTTTGTTAAAGAACAAAAGGGTTTCTTATGCAGACTTTTGAGAATTAAGAGGCTTTAGAAAAAACAAGCACTTATTAGTCTCTCCCAAATTCGTAACACCGGTTTAAGGTCTTTTTTTTCTTTGACGTCACTCATACAGATAATTTATGCAATATGTAAATTCTTGGTACTGAGAAAAAGATCGAAATTGACAAAAAAAAAATAATAAATTCGGAAATTTGATTTTTATATAATAAATTCTACTAAATTTAGAAAAATTTTCTAACTAGAAAATATTTCCGAACTAATTTTGAATTAATTAAACTCAAAAAAGAATATTTTTAAAAAAATACCCTTTTCTCAGCACAACTCCATATGGATTAGGTGCTGGAAAAATTTTATCCCTTTTTTCAGCACCTAGCCTATATGTTAAATTAACTCTGCTTTAGCGAATCTTAAAATAAGATTTTTATAAATTTAAACATAGGCACATCCGCTTCGAAAAACTGTTGGTATTCCTATAAATAAACAAAAAAAATATTTATCTTTCCCTTAAAATCATATTTTGCTATCATATTCATTATGAATATTATTTATTATTTAATATACGTACTGTTTATTTTTAAACTACAAATCCATTCAATAATTCATGCTGCTCAGAATGAACCATTAGCAAAATTATGGAAAATAAATGACGATGAATTACCTAAATATTTGGACATTGAAAACAAATTAATTAATGCAAATAAAAAGTTAATACCATTATTAAATAGTTCAAGCTTTGGTGGAACTTTTATAAATGCAACGACGAGCACTATACATATTTTTACAACAGATGATTCTAAGACCTTGGATATATTATTCGCACCTGATATGCAACCATACATAGAATATTTTTCATTTGATACTGTGCTTAATTCCTTAGATAAATTAAATTTCTTATTTAGTCAAATTATTGAATCTGCTAAACAATTTGAACCACGTAATGTATTGATGTTCATTGATATAGAAATTAATAATGTCGCACTTTATCTAAATACTGATTCACCAGTAAATATTCCATTTGTAAACGACATTCAAAAATATAAACCCAAAATATATGATCACAAACCTGGGTCAACTGATATTAATGAGGTGATCTTAAGTGGTGAAGGTATAGTTAGTTACAATAAAACTTGTTCAGCTGGGTATTGGGCAAAAAGTAGAAACAATCCAAATTCTAATTACCTTATAACTGCTGGGCATTGTTATCAAGATATTTTTTTTCTCTTACCATGGAATACACAAAATGTAACCGAATTTATTGGACCGGTAATACATCATACTACATTCCCACATGATGTTGCCGTAATTAATATAACAAATGAAGGTATCATCCCAAGAGCGGTCATAAGAAATAACGATTTTTCTCAATATGCTGAATTATTTATAAAATATTATAAACCTACACTTAATTACGGTGTTCATATATGTAAATCTGGCTATACGACACATATTACTTGTGGATATGCAAGAGGATTAAATGGAATTTACATCCAAGAAAAGGGAGTTAGTAAGAACGTACTCTTTTCTGATGGTATTACTCTGGGCGGTGATAGTGGTGGAGCTGTATTTCGTTATGTAAGCTTGAATGTGGTGAGTCTAATTGGTGTAGTCAGCGTAGGCACTAAAGGTGTTTCTGGATATACATTAGTTGAGGATATTTACAATGAAGTTGGTCTACTACCTGTTGTAATCTCATAATATATTAAAATGCATTTGTTCACAAATAACTGGTATGGCACATATTGTTATAACCTATGGCATAATGCATCATGGCTAAAAATATGTGCATTATAATAGTTACTATTGTTTTGTAAAGCTATAAGTTTGATTAAATCAGGGACCTGCAAAAATTTGGGTACAAATTTTTCCAAATCCAAAAAATTGCCATTTTTAAAATTACATCAAAAATTTTAGGACACGTGTGATCTGATCAATAGAAATTCATGGTAATTTGACGACTAGGAAAGACAAAACACAAACAAATAAAAAGAATTTTTTTCTTATCCATAAATAAATAGAAATAATGTGACAATGTAAAAGGATTACTACTTATAAACGTGTGCAAGAGTTTTCTGGAAATTTTCTTAGATTCCAGAAAATTTTTATTTTTGTAATTACAGAAACATTTTTTTAATAATAGATGAAAAATTTTTACAAGTTATATGAAATAAAAAATTGAGGTTTGCTATTTATTGCCTACGGTGATCATCGCCGGCATCACGTGATTATAATTAACCAATAAAAGTTAAATTTATTAATATACAAATTTATATACCAATAGCACAAATTAAAATTCAAAATAAAAATCTCCCAAACCCTAACCCTAATGCTTGTGTCAAAATTTTTTATGGTGGTAACATACGTACGTATGTACGTACATGTTATCACAACAGATAATTTAGAATATCAATACTTTGGCACTTCTTAGATACATATGTACATATGTAATACTTACCTGAACCCTAATTTAGGCTAATCGATACCCAAAGCAAGATATATATGCACAACACAACATAATCTACAACTATATTA